GCCTGGGCTCCCTTATCATTTCCCCATTGAGTGGATGCTAACCACTAGGCCTCACAGCCCACTGAGGACCCTATTACAGTTACATACTAGTGGCAATGACTTGCTGCTGGATGGTACTACACACTGCAGTAACCTATTTGTCTCTCTTTGCCCCAGATTCCCCCTATGGTCTTAGGGCCTGATTCCCCCACCGATGTGTTGAGCACCTGCATTTCCCATTGACTCCGACGGTCGCTGGGTCTTTGAAAATCAGACACCATATGATCAGCACAGAGGGTGGTGGACTTTATTTCATTTGGAGTGACACTCTTGACTGCATATAACTGACTGTCACACCACCAGTCCTCTGCTCCAGATGCATGAATATGCACAAAACTAGCACCGTCTGTGCTGCAGGACTTCACAGCAAACTTGGTGGTATGACAATAGCATGAAGAGCTCTGGATGCCATAACAGCTCACTATGTGGCACAAGGCTTAAATGGAGGAGTGGCAAGGAGAAGGGAACAAGAAAGAGAGGTAGGTGAGGCAGAGTTAGTGGGGAGGGAAAGGGACACAGTAAAGGGAGAGCAGGGAAATGAGCATTCTAGAATCCCTTCTCTACAAGGGTTGGTAGAGACTGCTGCTGTTGATACAGTGACTGTGTGGGAAAACATGGAAACATAGTTCACACTGCCTTTGGCATTAGATCCTGTTGTACTGAAAGGGAATGTTGGCCAGGACAGAAGAATGTGTTCCCTACATTCTACCTGAAAATGCCAAGCTATCTTGAACTTTCACATGGATATGGAGAACCACCAAAAAAATAGGCACAAGTGACCTCAGTTTAACAGTGTCTGAATAAGTGGTGTCTTTTATTTCTCAAACAGTAAACTGAACAGAGGTAGCCATTCAGGGATTTTACTCAGGTATTTTCCTGTCCCCTACTGCTTTTTAAGCCTTTTTGTAAACATCTTTTGCTTTCCTTTATCTGATTAAATCGTACAGACTTTACAGCTGTCCTCAGAGTTCTGTTTCATAAACTGTAACATTGATTTAATGATTTTAATTCCTTTTCCACAGCAGTATCTATTGTAGTGAGTCAGTGACTCTGTGGTCCATGAGAGGATCTCTCTCATATAGTGGTCCACAGAATGGAAAATGTTGAAGAACCATAGTAGTGAGACACTAAGTTACTGTGTACTTGGTCTAGTGCTACATTAACATTACTTAGATCTCGTTCACACAAGTAGAATTGTAATAGCTAGAGATGGAAGAGACCTAGTATGTTATCTGCTTCAGGCATGGGTGCCAAGTTTGTATAATTTTTGCTGGTACCCAGAATGGGTCCAAGAAGAGCCGGGACTGACCGGGGCAATTGCCCCGGGCCGCTCACTTTGGGGGGCCCTGCGCTTCAGGGGGACGCAGGGTCTAGGGTGGCCTGAGGGGTCAGTGGGGGGCCTGGCACAGGCAGCAGCAAGTGACCCGGCCCCAGCCCGCCCCTCTCCACTGGCTCCTGGCATCGCTCAGTGGAGGGTGTGGAAGCTGGAAAGAGCTAAGGTGGGGGTAGAGGCTTGGTGGAATGGGGGCAGAGTGGGGTTGGGGCAGGGCAGGTCAGCACCAGGCCGCCCACTGCTGCTGATGCCAGGACCCCTGCTAACCCCCCAGGCTGCCCTGGACCCCATGTACCCTGAAGCATGGGGCCCCCCAAAGCTCGGAGCCTGGGGCGGTTGGCCCAGTCCATCTTATGGACGGAACGGCTCTGATTAAATATAACCTCAAACATTGGTGGAGCCATGCACCACGGGCCCATATAACTTGCCACCTATGGCTTCAGACCTCTCCACATTACATGAAACACACTGCAGCTGATCTTTCTTTGATGCTCTTCCGCTACATGTTCTGAAACTTGCCACAAATTCACAGGAGGGGAAGGAGGAGAAGACCATAAAGTCTCACTCTTCTTTGTCACTATTCTAATAAATTAGGGCTTTAAAGTATTTGATCATTTTTTCCATAATTTGACAATATTTGGTCAACTGACCAGCCCGGAGTGGAAAACAGGGTTGGATTATTCCATAATTGCCCTAATCTGTACACCTACATGAAACTTTGGTACAGACCACTGTTGGAGAAAGGATACTGGCGAAGATGGACCATAGTCTGACCCAGTATGCAGCTTTTATGATCATATATTACACACAGCAATATATTTTGGGCCCTTTGCAGCATGTTTTGGAGGTATCTATCTTGCATTTGGGTTGGAGTAAATTCTATTATTGGAGTATTATCTATTATCAGTGGTAACCCAGGGCAGCATTTGGACCTTTGGTAGGAAATACAGAGGTGTGATTTAAGCCAACTCCTTGCCAGTACACGATTGTTGTACAAGTTGCTCTTCTGACAAACTGCCAAAATAAGCCTAAACATGAATACTTTCCTTCTTTATTTCCTCCTGGCTTTAAATCTTTACCCAAGAAATACTAAATAGGGCAGTGGTGGTGTTTTGCTCTCTCTAACCTCTCTACTGCATTTAGGATTTCAGTTATAGCAATAGTGCCACTTACAGACTGACCTCCCATCAACACTTTTAACTGATTCTGGGTCATTATGTACCTTTGATTGTCTCAGGTTTATCTGAGGAAATCTGCTTTTTTGTTTTTCACCAAAACACAAATAGGGATTACTTCATCCATTGATCTGGGATGACAAGAAGGAACTATGTAGCTTCTTAGGAGGTGCAGCAAATGAAGAACATATTGTGCTTATTTGAAATTAAAGGGGAATATAGATAAACAGAATGCAGTTACTCAAGTTGGAATGCAGCCAGAATTTTGGAAATAACAACCTTATTCCTGTAGAAAGTGCTATGGGATCTCTCTTCTTCAATGAGCTGGACTAATTAAGTTCTCGATTTTTATGTTTCATTTGAAAGACAGTACCTGTGGCTGCATGGGTTCAGTAGTTTCTCCAAGGGAACACTGCCCCCTCTAACGCCATAGTCCCCTATACAGTATTACACTATATTGTCAACACTGAGTAATTAGCCCAAGTGAGAGAGTAGCTGTTTAAACTTTATGACCTTCTCATCCATAACTGATGGTGTTAACAAATGAATTGTTTTAGCATCAACAAGTGAGCCCTGCAGTGAGGTGGGGCTTAAATAAGCTGATGTCGCATTTTACAGATACTTTGGGCATGTCTACACTGCACAGTAAGCCCGAGTCTGTGGGACCTGGGCTTGTAGACAGTGTCTCCAAGCCTGTGCTGGAGTGTCCACACAGCATTGTAAACCTGAGTTTACAGTTGGTGGACCCAGGTCTCACAGCCATGCTAACATGTCCATACTGGACTATGCAAACCTTCTGACTCTGGTCTGCTGCTTGACCTGCATCCCCACTGCAAAATGACAGTGCTTGGACCCAAGTCACAGTGGGATCTACTTCCCCCAGCAGGGTCCTAGGATCTGAGTTCTGGCTGACCCATGTTAGACTGATTTGTGTGTGGATGGAAGTGGGGCATGGGCTCAAACCTGAGTCAGAACTTGGGTTTCATGTGCAGTGCAGACATACCCTTGGAGTCTAGCCATAGTAATGAATAGGCAGGTACAAACTGTGAGTCTCTCATAAATCTGATCTTCCCTTTGAAGCCATGTCCACTTTGGTGCTGTGTTGATTTTAATTACATGGGTATTGTGAGTTGGTTGTTTTGGGCAACCAACCCAAAAACAGTCCTTCAAAAACAGACTCCAACGATAAACAGCAGAACTGGAATTAATCTGCAAACTGGACACCATTAAATTAGGCTTGAATAAATACTGGGAGTGGATGAGTCACTACACTAACTAAAAACTATTTCCCCATGCTAATTTTCCCCCTACTGTTACTCACACGTTCTTGTCAACTGTTTGAAATGGGCCATCCTGATTATCACTACAAAAGTTTTTTTTTCTCCTGCTTATAAAAGCCCACCTTAATCGGCTGGTCTCATTTAGAGTTGGTATGGCAACCCGCATTTTTTCATGTTATCTATCAATCTATCTATCTACTGTATTTTCTACTGCATGCATCTGATGAAGTCGGCTTTAGCCCACAAAAGCTTATGCTCAAATAAATTTGTTAGTCTCTAAGGTGCCACAAGTACTCCTCATTCTTTCTGCTGATACAGACTAACACGGCTACCACTCTGAAACCTACACGACATAGTGGTTGAGAGATGTAGTTTAATAATGTTTGCATAGTGTCTTAATATCTTCTGACTTGCTAGAGAGCAAAATTTTTTTTCTTTAAAATGTTCAGTTTACTAAGAAATGGAGACAAATTATCAAACCTTCCAAAAATAAACTAGAAAACACACTTGGACACAGCACTATTGTCTTTAGATACTCTTTTCTTAATTGACAATTCTTAAATGTCACCTGACAGTAACATGATCAAAATGCTTTAGCTGCAGAGATCTTTTTTAAATCAAAGGTGACTTTATGAAAAACAATAAAAAGCCACTTCTGTTGCATGATAACAGAATAAATTATATTTTTCCCTAGAAGAAGTAAAGGCTGTAGAAACAAGGGGCAAACATCTTTTCATGAATTGGTGGGTGCATGGGGCAGATATTTTTCCAGTACTGCAGCAAATTTTCCAGTTTACCAGGTCAATGCAGAGAGAGGAGCAAATGATTCCCAATTCATATACTTGGGATATAAGGAAAGGGTCAGTATAAAAAGAACTTGATTTGTAGTGCATGAAATCTCAGAATGAAGTAAATATGAATGTATGCTCTGTGGAGCAACAGTTATAAGTGGCTTTGGAAAGCAAAAGTCTTGCAGTTGTTACCAGGGTATTAATGTTCGGACTTCTAGTGAATCCTAAATTGGGTACTGGGTTTGCTGTTGGCAGTGGTTTTTTGTTTTTATTTAATATCCCCCCTAAAGTAGTTCTGAGCATGAAGACTGACTTGGGGAGCCTAGAAAGATCTGCTAACCTCCCAGGGGGCTATATTAGATCTGTGAGTCATGGAGTCCTTGCATAGTAAGTGTTTGGTTACAAGCCTTTTATGGGCCACAGCTCAGCTGGGATATCAGTATCTGTATTATAGCTCCTATCTATTCTTAGGTGGCACTTCAGCAGGACTGAGCAGGCAAGGCAAAAAAGAAGCAATTATTGTATTCTCAATATTTGTAAATGTTGTCTTTTTTTCTTTATTTTTAAAACTATTTTCTTTTATCCCTCCACCCCCACCCCTTTTCTGTAGAGCCTTTTTGGTGACCTGTGTAAAAGAGTTACAAAATGTCTTACAACGTGACTCTCAATGGACCTGGACCATGGGGTTTCCGACTGCAAGGGGGAAAGGACTTCAACATGCCCTTGACCATATCCAGAGTAAGTGAACAAAAAGCCTTCTTGCATTTGCTTAGGTTAGAAAGTAGCAGCAAAGGAGTTGCTAAATGCACGCTCTAACCTGGACAAAATTAAGAGATTGATCAGTCTGTTGAAATAGAGGCAGAAGGGACTGAAAAAAACAGAGCATTTTAGAAGAACGAAAAATAATAGCATGTTTTCTTTTAGCACATTTAAACTTCCTGATTCAAGGCATAGCTGATAATGCCAAGAAGCGACATCTTAGATGGACTGTATAAGAAAGATGAAACTGCATCTTTACTCAACAAGAGCAAAAACCTACTTTTAAATTAATGTTTCTGTCATGCTATAAAACAATTTTATTTTCCGTAATGTTGCTTCTTTTCTGTGGCCAAGGGGCCTTATTTACTTTGTAATGGGGTTTGTTGATGGAGGGAAGGAAAAAGAAGTGATCATAATAAATCAAATGAAGTTTCCAAAAAACGAGCATGTAGCTCCCTATAAATGTGTATAGTTTGGGTTTTGTCAGACTTTTTTGTTTTGACATTTTTCCCCCCCAAGGCTTTTCATCTGTAGTCCATCAAGCTTTCGGACCTGTGACTATTTCTTTTTCTTACTTGGCACAGAATAGTGTAGCCACATCAGCTAATAAGACCAATGTCAAAGATGATTTCATCTGTTTTTGAGAAGAACATGGTGGTAGGTTTGGGGATTTTGTTGCCTTTTTTTTTTTTAAATCTTAGATTTAAATAAAACTTGCTGAGGTTTGTAATGGGCTTAAAAGTACACAGAATGAAGCAGAAGGCTCAATAGTGCTGAAAATATTTTCTTAAATTGTACAGGGACCTTCTATTTGCTGATGAAAAACAGTGAATGATGTAATAATTAATTACTCAGTGCAGTTATTAAGTATAAATCAGTCCATTGCTTGCAGTTCCACCTCTTTATTTCCTCTAAGAGTAATTTTTAAAGGCAATCCAGGGGCATGCTCTAGTTATTACCCGACCTATTTTACTAGTTTCCTAAAAGGAGAGAGGTGTTACAAAACCTCTCAACACTGAATGCTTTTGAATTTGTAGATGGGAAAGATTTTCTCTCTAATCGGCAACTAAGCAGTTATTTAACAGTTCTAATTTGGCACCTGGAAATTTCGCTCCCTATATGCTTTTTGTTAAGTCAGTTTCAAGTATTATTTCAGACTATTTAGACATAGACACAGAAATGTACAGTCCAAAATGTGTTCTGATTCCTTCACAAAATTAGCTGCAGCAGGAGTTCCAGTTTTTGTGGTGGAGGCAAGAGAGGTTACTTAGTTAACTAAGTGTAAAAAGAATAACAAACTGATCTGCTCAGATAAACAGGTAGATGGCAAATAAAAGAACTGTTTTGGATGCTACATACTATCGACACTCATTTGGAAAGCTAAACTTTATCTGATCCTCCAGCATTTGAAGCTTTTAATACATTTATTATGTTGACTTTTGGAAACAAAACTGATTATCTTTGCGCCAGTCATGAGTCAAAGACTTCAGCAAGCTTTTGAAATCCTGGGAAGCTATCCATTTTAACCTTTACGCTATAAAGCTCTGTCTTATTTGATCTCTCTTGTGTATAGGTATAGTGTGTGTCTCTCTCCGTTCAAGGCTGAGTCTGCATTAATTTCAGGTTGCTAAATTTATATGCTCCTACTCTGATAGGAGGAACCCTTTCTTTATCCTCTCTGCAAAGGTGTCATTGTTCTGTACTGTTATTATAGAAGGCTGCCCTGTTGTCAGCATTACAAAAATATTGTCAGAAAAATAAAAATTACTTTTCCAGTTTTAAGCTAATTTTAGTACCGTAGATAGTGCAGGTCTCCCCTTATCCCGCACAAGGTAAGGAAGTAGACTGCTTATGGTAGATTTGCTAATATCATGTAGACATACTTGTGACATTTTAGTGCCCTTTATTGTGAGGTCCTAGTTATTTGTAGTGCCTAGAGGCAACCGATCAAGGGCCCCATTTTGCTGACTGTGTACACACACAAATGAAAAGACAGTTGTTGCCCTAAAGAACTTAAAATGTCAGGCCCGGATCACTGTGAGAGTCCCATTGACTTCAGTGGGACTGCTGAAAGCATATAATTTAAGCATGAGTGTAAATCTTTGCTGGATCAAGGCCCAAAAAACTGCTTCAGCTCCCTCTGAACGCCCTCAACTGCCAGTGATCTCAACAACTTTGAGCCCTTCATGAGGCTGACTTTCGGTTGCAGTGATAATGTCAAATACGATGTGAGACTGTTTGAAATCTTGCCCAGTGAAACATTGTTCTTAGTTGGGAATATTACTCTGGAACTGTGTTTTGTATCTAATATAAAATAACAGCGGATCATGGTCTGTTTGTGTACATGAAAATGTACACAGACTTTTCCCTTCTCAGAGAGGGGGATTGGTGGGAATAGGAATGTTTGGAAACTGTGTTATTTTTTAATTGAAACATTGTGTCCTGTACCTTTTGGTGATAATAGTTTAATAAACCCTGTTTTTTATATAAATATCCCAAAACAGATCAAGAGACCCCCCCCATTGTCAGCAATTAATTTGCAGTCATAAGCGAGGCAAGTGGTGAACTCAGTCATATAACACACACAAAAATGTTTTCACAGGAATAATATTATACTTTAAAATTATGAGCCAAGTTCTGTTCTGAGGGAACACAATGCTCCATGAATCTCCAAGTGCTGTCAGTGGAGATTACACATCCTTATCTGAAAACAGAATTTGACCCATAGAAGCATGTGATGGGACCGGAACCTCCAATTCTTCCCAAAGCAGCATATGCGAGTAGGTAGAGCGCTGGACTGAGACTCGGGAGTCCTGAGTTGTATTCCCAGCTCTGCTGCTGGATGACGTTGGGCGAGTTACTTCACTTGTTTTGTGCCTCCATCTCCCTTCTGTAAAATGGGAGAAACAAAAACCTTTGTTAAAGCCCTTGGAGATCTCACTGATAAAAAATACTATATAAGAGCTTTTATTATGATTTCTCTTCCTACGACTATCATTACATTTTAAATCATGGGCAATGAAGGAGAATTGCGCCTTGCCAAAAATAAATGGTCGGATGGCTGGTTTGTTTTTTAATGCGCTCTGAGGCACTATCATTTGTTCTCTTCTGGGAGGTCCAGGTGATCAAATCCGTGCCAAGTCTTCAACAGTTTGAGACACAGGAGTCCCAGTCAATCAGCTGAATGACAGGTGAAAACATATCTTGGTGTTCCTATGAAATGGAGCATTGTGCCTAATACCCTGTTCTTCATCTAAAAATAAGTGTCTCTGTGGTGTCAGCTTTGGGGTAGGGGGAGAAAGCAAGCGTGGAAGATTTAAGGTAACCCTGCAGCGTCGTACTCCTTGAACTATGGAATGGAGTATTCATTAGCAAATAAAAGAGCAACCTTTGTAGTTTCACGTTTTTTTTCCGTCCCCACCTCACAGCTCCTCACACCCTCTAGGGCTAACCTTGCCATGCAGCAGGATAGGCAAATGTCTATTCTATGTCTATGCTCTATTCTAGATTTCAGTAGATCTGAGTACCTGTCACTCCTGTTGAAATGAATGGGAGTTACAGGTGCTCAGCCAATGGCCTGATTGTGTGAGCGACTCTGGTCCTTTCTAAATTGACGAGGCCAGCAAAAATCCTAGTGCTGATGTAATCCATTTTCTTCTAAGCCTGCATGTGCTCTTCATTGACTGGTGGTGAGGAGGATGCTCTGAGACAACAATTGCATTGACACATCTAATTCTCTATTCTTCCCTGTGTAAGAAGGGGGCTGTGTAAATTTAAACCTTTTGCTGCTGGTCTGCCATGTTACCTAATAGGCTATCATCATTCCAGTGCTTAGATACCATGGTTGGTGAACGTTATATTAAAAATCTAAGATAGGTAGATTCTCTTCGTGTTCCAGTGAAATGTAGAATGCCATCAACAGTCCAGAGAGAAACAAGAAGCATGTGAATTGGCTTATATTGAAACCATAGTTTAAATTTGAGTGGAGAGATTTAATCATACTCTGAGATGACCCTAGTGATATACGTACAGTGTCATTACATATGGTTGATCAATCTACAATATGGTATTTCTAATTCATCCACCACTGTATTGGCTGGGCACTATTTATATAATATATAATTTTACTGTTGCCTTCAGTGCCAACTCAGAAGCCAAAACTCTGGGGCTGGAAAAATGGCAAAAGACATATGTGGTTTTTGGTTTTGTTTTTTTTAAATTAATACAATAGAAGGTGTAACAGGATGGTGAGCATTATGGGTGAACAGTGGGAAGAAGGAAACTGAAGAAATGGAACCTCCTCACCAATTCATATACTTACGCTGGTAATAAACAAAACACTATGGGGCTGCTTATATAAACCATTTTATATGGCACTGGAAGAACACGAAAGTTTATTTTTATCATACTTGCTAGGCTGACTTTTTTTTTTTTTAACCAAAATCCTTCCCTCCTTACTACCTCTTCCACCCCTACCACCACATACACAGAGGTATACACCATCCTTCATGAGGAGATATTAATGTGACAGCACTTCCCCTTTGAGGGACTATAATGTATATGAGAGAATTCCCCTGTCACTTTTGTTTAACTTGCTGTACATGGAGACTCCTCACCTTGCGTGGTGTACTAGTGATGAATGATGGGAGCCCCCCTTAGTTTTCTTCACGACTGAAGGAGGTGAAGCCTGGAACATCGTTTGAAGCAACATTCCTTCCCCACCATCAAAGTGATTTGTCATTTCATCATCTGGACAGCTGAGTGCTACTGCATGTGAACTGCCTTCAAAAGGGCAAAATGTACCTGAGTAAATTGATAACATAGAAGCTCTGTAGAGGAGCACAGAACTCACTGGAGGCATTAAATGGGGAAACAATAGCATAAATGATGAATTTGCCATGGTGCCTTAGCATAAAAACAAAGCATCTTTTGGACAGCAGATATCTGACTTCCTGTTTAGTACACTGACTTCATGCTCT